GCACCCCCCCCCCCCAGCTTGAGAAAGGCTCTTTCTCACTCCTCACTGCTTGCTGTGGCCCTGCTTCTGCATTTGGCCCCAATGCAGAAGAGGTTTTTGGTTCTCAGACCTGGATGGCTGGGAGCGCCATGTTTTTCCGAGGGTCAGCCTGGGGTGGAACTGAGTCCTTAACCCCACTCCAGGCCTCTGCATGGAGACCCCTGGGCCTTGAGGAGCCTGCTTCTTTGGCTCCAGGGTCTTGTCTGGGAGTTCTTCTCAAGTTTCTTCCTGGTAAAAGACTGGCCCTATCAGGAGAGCAGGAGTTCCAGGATCGCAGCCTCAGTAGAAGGCAGTCAGAACTTCCTTATAGACTCTGCCCCGCCCCCGCCCCGCCGCCGCCGCTGCCGCCGCCGCCACCACCACCACCACCACCACCACCCCCGTGAAGTGCGAGGGAGATTATTCAAATGCTCAAATGCAGCCACGATCAGTGCCGCAGGGCTAAGGAGCTTCTCCGTTCCTCCCAGCAGCCCCATGACATAGAACTGTCATCACCACCATGGCGCAATTGAACAGTCTGGGCACAGAGCAGTTAGGTAACTTGCCAAGAATACACAGCTCAAAAATGATGGAGTCGTAATCTAAACCCAGGTCTGTGACTCCAAAACCCATGTTCTTCCCTCCTGGGTTTCCCGTCACAGACATCTGCCTCTACGCGGGAAAACACACCCCGCCAACACCCGCTTCCGTGTGCATGGCTGATTTTCTACCACGTGGACCCACCACCAGAGTCCTTCTCTTAGGCTTCATCGCCTCTACGCCCGCCAAAATAAAGAAGGAGCTGTTTGGAGAACCCAGACACACTGAATGAGCAGGGACTTGGGAGGCTGCAGCTTGGTTGGAAGGGGCGTGTGACTAGGGGAATGGTCGTGAAGCTGCATTTGCAGAGCAAGCTCACTTTTTACAGAGGCTGTTTTGGCTGTTAGTTCGACGAGGGGTACTTTGTTGAACATTGAGGGGAGCTGAACCCCTGGAAGCCCCCTCTTGGCACCACTACTGCCTGATGGGGTATTGGCAGGGGTGAGGGGGGCAGGAAGGGGTCAGGGAGCTTCTAGGGAAGGAAGTGCCACCCGCCGGGGGCCCTGGCGTGGATGGAAGGCTGCAGATTTTGTATTCAAGGAAACAAGGCTTCACTGTGCCAGCCGAGCCCAGCCCAGCCGAGTCCCGGCTGTGAACAGCCAACAGACAGGCTCTCATGGAAGACAAAACTCGCGTTCTCCTTCTGCTGTCCAAGGGGTGCTGCAGCCTCCTGGGTCCAAGCAGGGCCCAAGGATCACAGCCAGGGCTCTGCTGGGACACTTCCACCCTGATCTGCAGCTCCCATGGCAGAGGGGAGGGGAGCCTGGCCCCCCTGGGAAGCCATCCCCCAGAGCAGAGTGCAGGAGATGGGAGAGGGCAGAGGGAGCTGGGAGCTGGACTTGTCTTGGAGGCCAGGAGCTAGGAAGTGGGGGCTTTGTCCTGGCTCTGCCGCTCAATTACCTAGTCCGCCTGTCCCCTCTGGGCCTCAGTCTTCCCATCTGTAAAAGGAGCATGATGTATCTGATGATTCCCAAAGGTGATTCACCAATGACTTCCTTATTTCTGAGTCGTCCGGAACCCTCCCGGATGGCAGAACTGCCTTCCAGGGTCTTCCAGTTCACCCATTCAGTGATCATCAGCAGATACTTCCTAAGGATGGAGATGGAGGGAGAAGAGAGGGGGCAGAGGGAAGATAGACGGGCTCTCCGTCATCGCTGACCTCACGCTGCTAGTAGTTTCCATCTGGGAGAGACCCCCGGGGTTGTCACCAACGCTTTCTCCCCATTTTACAGAAGCGGAAACTGAGGCCCAGGAAGGTGTAGTGACATTCCTGGGGAGGTTTTCAGTGGCTGAACCAGAGCATCCTTATCTATACAATGGGAAAAGTGGTCCCTGCTTCTCGAGGTGGGGCAGGGGGAGGTGATGCACGCAGAGCTCTGGCAAGGTGCCAGGCACCTGGAAGCACCTGGACTCGCAGTCCTTCCTCCTTTTGCAGCCTCAGGCTGCACCCATCACCTCTAATCTGACCCTCTGCCCTCCTCTGTCTGCCCATCCATCCAGGGCTGCTCTGGAACCCTCCAGGCAAGGGGCAGTGGTGTGGACCCAGAGGGCCTCAGGGCAGCCACCTCTGGCCTGGCAACAGCCTGCGTGGGGCTCTGCGGGGTGGTGTAAGCCGAGACCTGCCAGAGAGGAAGGCAGCCATGTAATTCTGAACCTGCCGTGGAATCCGAGGAAGATGTCCTAGTTCCCTGCCCTGCCCAGCCTCGTCCCCAGCCACTTCATCTCATGACCCCTTGCGTCAGAGAAGAGGGGGGCTTCCCTCTCTTCTTCCCACCTTGCCCTCCCCTCCTCTCCACCTGCTACGCCTCCCTGGTGTCGCCTCAGGCTCTTGCAGCTCACAGCAGCACCACCCCCTCGTCCTTCCTGGAGGGCTGTCTGGTGCAGTGGTTAAGGGCAGGGCCTTTGGAGTCAGCCGCCCTGGGTTGGAATCCCAGCCTTGGGCCCTGGGGCAAGGCACGTAAACCCTTCTGAGCCCCGATTCCTCACCCTGGAACAGGGAGAATAATAGAACCCACCTCACAAGGTTGTTATGAAGTGCCTGGCACAAAATAAGTACTTTCCAAGTTCCTGTCACCACCATCCCCAGCCCTGGTGGTGGTGCCTAGCACGGAGATTGCTCCACAGAAGCCACTGGCTGACTCCACTTACCCCCCCCCATGGAGCTGCCCGGCCTGCCAGGCTGGCAAGAACCCTCTTGCTTTGGGCCGGAGTGACGGGGACCCAGCATGAGAACCTTCTTTCCCTCCTG